ATAATATATATATATATGTATATTATGTGTTAAGAGAATTCACTATATTAACCTAATATCTACCTAATAAATGTGTTAAATTTGAATTGAATGGAATCAAATCAGTATAAACAAAAAAGAATTCTGAGAGAAGACTGTCTATTAGTCTAAAATATTACTAGTATATTACTACTCATAAAAATTATTGTGGATTTACATGCAACTTTTTGTTTTAATTATCCACCTACGCTCTACATTATAATAACCGTTACATTTTCAAATTTTTTAGGTTAGTGAAAAAAATTGTATCGTCATAAATTAAAAATTAAAAATCGAAAATTTCATATGCCTATAAATATCTGAACACGAGTCAAGATTTTTTGAAAAAGTATGAAGAATAGAAAATACTATAGATATAAACATTTACTGAAAACTGTATATATATTTACGTCAAGTTAGATATGAGAATTGTCTCTATCTTTCTTGTTAGGTATTAAGTTGTCATTATAAACATTTTTATTTGGCATCAAAAAAATGTTAAAATAAAAAAAWATATATATTATTATAATTAATTTAGTATAGGTACTCTARAACCACTATGCCGATCCTTATACCCAAACCCAAAATCCTAAATAGTACGGGTAGTGACTACTTCCCCATAGCCATAAGCCATGGGGACTTTAGCTTCCACGAGTTCAATTATAACATAAAACATTCCTTGTTTTATTATGACTATACGTCTAACTATTATTATTATTAAAGTGAAATGCTATCAATTATATATTTTTAAATTATAAGATATTTATCGAAAAAAAAAATGTTATGGTATAAATGGTACCTATATATAGTAGTATAGTGATAATATAAACTCGTTGTAAACTACTGAACTATRTTATATATTTCTTTAAATGCCAGACGATTAACATTGAGAGTTAAGGAAATTAAGCTTAAGACACACATTACGTAGGTATGGCGATGTTCGGAAGTGACATAGTTTGGTGGTCCACGACAACATATAATAAAGATCAATGTTACAGGTTGGTTATTATAATTATATGCMCAATATTTATTTTATTTTTATCTGTAGGTACACTGATCAAATACCCCTGAGCTATACATAAACTAAAAACTAGGTAGTTTAATTTGTAACTATAGGTGTTTAAAATCTCAGCTTCATTGATTAATAAATAATTATTATTCAAAAATAAAAATCTACATTTTTATAACTGTCACATATTATGTTAAAGATGTTTAATCGTTATTATAGTCGTAATGTTTAATGTACTGCGAGGTTGAATTAAATCTTCCACCTATTATTAAAATAATTGGTAATGATTAAAAACTTTTGTACTATACCATATAATATCGCCGTCATGTTGTATTGTGATATTTCAGAAAATTTTAATCGTTTAAGAGCTAAAAATGGTACTGCATTTGGTTTGAAACTATACCGTACTCGTTTAGTCAAAACATTTTATTAACTGATGTGATTATATAATTACATAAACAATGTATTTTACATTTTAAAGGAAAGTTAATTGGTAATTCGAGAGATTAAATAATGCAAAAAACAAAAATTGTTTGTTAAATTGACAAATTGTTATTTTACTTACTGAGCACACAATATTTGCTACTTTATCCAATATATTATTTCGTTTTTTAATGGCATCAAATGGGAAATGTTCACAAAATATGATATCAATTGTGTCCAAGTGATCAATATTTAAAGCATTCGCAACCATTTTTCTTTTAACTTTTATCTTATGGTGTAATAAATATACAGATCATTTTCCTGTTTTATTAYAACCAAACCAACAAATTTTAACAGGCATAATTAGTATAATATGTAATATAATTGTATAATTATTAATAACAATGACTAGGATAAATAAATCAGGATTATATGAAAAAAAATTACAATTTTATATTAAACAAATTATGTTTATTTTAAAAACACATGATTATGTATAATATTTAGTAGTAATTAGTGTATTAATATAACAATGGGGCCCCTGTATCAAGGGGCCCTCATCATATCGCCCCCATTTTTATAATTTAACTATCAGATGCAAATCAAAGCATCTAAAAAGTACAAATAAGTAATGCTATGTTTAGTCATTATTATTTTTACGTTTTTAAGTAAATTCTAGACGCAGTATCTTACGGCGGCAGCCTYCMATTTACAAAATCTACTATTATATAATATGTCAACTAAATTTTATGATCGGCGCCACTGTTGAATCTTAATGTATAGCAATTACAAAAATAATATTACATTTTTCAAATGCACAATCTGAATTAAAGTTCAAATCCCTATATTTGGCGGTAATAATTTGACGAGCTATTACTACAATTATTCCTAACCACAAAAACGTCTAACCAGCACATRGATAATAAAGAATAGCCGTGGCCTATCCATTCAGAGCAGTTCAAAAATGTGATAACATTTTTAAACGTTATCAGTGACTTATCACACAATTATGCGGAATCATGCCGGAGAACCCAGAATGGTAGAATGCCAGAATTCACATTTCCGCGCCAATTGAGTTTTTGATGCCGGTGGATACTGGACACTGACCGACTGACCTGTGATTCTGTGTTCACCTGACACGTTTAAGGTATTGACTATTATAACTAATAATACATAATTGAATCGCYTGATTTGTTAAAAATCYACGGTAATTGAAGGTTTGTTGTTAATGCGAAAAACTTTAACTATCCGTATGTTTTATTAAATCTTTAATTTTAATATTTGGCTAAAAAACACATTAATTGTGTTTGTTAACTATATTTTTGTAGGTAATAAGTATAATTAAATTATACTTTGTTCTGTAGCTTTGTGCATTTGTCAGCGCACCGTTTTCTGTTGTATTGTAGTTACTTATTGATTTTGAATTTAATGTTTCATATCTACTAAATATCAGTAGCGGCGTACGCACTGGTAGGGTCCTAGGTTCTGACCCCCACCGAAATTTTTTCATTTTACAAAAAAAAAWTTTTTTAGCACCATTTCAATATACAAAGTAGATAAATTGTTGGTCATTTTTAAAAGTTAGAAATTAAATTTGTTAATTTATTATTAATTATAATTTGTTATATAACTAACTATAAAAAAACTGTTAAAGAAATTATTTAAATTATTCATTATCATGTAAAACCCTAACTAAACTTCAATCTTGCGTATATGACTGCTAGATATTATCTAGTGTTATACATGTTTTCTAATACAAGTTAATAAAAGTTCATAAATTTACATTTATTATGTGAATAATATTGTAATTAATATTTTTTTATATAGGAATTTTTATCTACTTATTTAAAATATTATAAAAGTGCGATGGCGTCAAATGAAGAAAATGATGAAAATAAAAAAAAACTCAACTATGACGAGTTAGATGTGTATAGTAAACTAGAAGTTAAACTTAAAGCACGTAACAAAGTTATTTGTCGCAAAGAAATTACCCTGCCCTGCGCTCATGTTGAAGACACCGATCTTTCTGATGTTTTGGAAGCTAATAATATTCCTTCAGTTAAACTAAATAGACGTTTGCAGGATAATACACAATCAATTAGTACATTGATGGATAATATCCGCCAACTGAAACGTACTTCAGGTATTAATATTTGAAATTAAAATTTTTAGTATCTACTTGCTTACCAATTTTATACTTTTATTTAATAGAATTGGAAATGGATTTTGTTATCGATCATGGAAGAAATGAAAATGATGAGGTCAGTCAAATAGTTACACAACTTCGACAGCAATCTGAAAAACTTTTTAAAAACATTATTCATACTCAAGTTGCTTTTAATGAATGTTTAAGTTTGACGGACAATTTAGAAAACAAAGAGCATATCAAAAATCACTTAAAATTAATAGAAAAAACTTGTAAATTTGATAGAGGTGTAGAATCAGTAATCGGTTGTAACAAAGATAAATTAGAAAAACATATTGACAAAAACTTGAAGATTGAAAATATCGAAGAATTTAAAAAGTACGTATGAGATGCAGCTATTTTATTTTTATGAATACCTGCAATATTAGATTTTATAAAATTATTTTTGAAAAATGAATGGTCATTGAGAGCAATGTTAGAGYATAAAATTTAATTTAAAAATATGAAATTTGTAGAMATTTTATACAATTCTTGTCTCTTGATTAAATAAGTGGCTTGGGATATAATGGTGTGTACATGTTCAGCTTTTCTTTCAAATTTAACTGAACAAGTGTGTTTAGACAACTCCTAAAATGTATATGTATAACCTAAAGATTTTTTCAATCTTAAGTGTAGCATAAATTCAACTGATTGTTCTTGATTTTTTGTATTAGTGCTAACGGTTACATGCACTGCAATTAATTAATACAAATGGTGAATTGCTAACTCCGACTTACCTAAATATGTACAGTTTTTGTTAAGTTTAAAACAAAAACTGAACTTGTGTATTGCATATGGTTATTAAATCTGATGAAAGTTGGCACCTATGTTAAAACACCTCATAAAATATACCCACATATTTTCATGACCGGGCAASTTAACTATTTTTTAAACTTAAATACAAACAATAATATTATAGGAGAAAAAAGTTGCTTTTGCAATTTAATAATTTGCGATCCATATCAAAACACAATAAACTAATTTGATTAACAAATAAAAATAATACATAGGCATAAAGGTAAAGGTCAGAAAAAATATAAGGAAAGTAGGCCTAATAATAATAGTAAAAAGAGTAATAAAACCTTATTAACATAATGTATTAATTATTACGGTTAATTTTTAAAGAAATAATCTCGTCATGTCCTTTTTAAAGTTATATCTTCTTGATCAACTTGTTCTTGAAAGATTTTAAGTTAATATGTTTAGGTGGGATTTGATTTTTTATGAAAATTTATATACCTAATATATGTTGGTTTCATCGTTTTATTTTAAAATTATGCATTTGACATTTTGACAGTTGCAATTTATTATTTACAGTATATATTTTAAGTTTATTTTTTTGTTAAAATAATTAATTTGTACACGACAAATATATTTTAGATCTATGAAGGGATCATATTAGAAAAATAATTAACTAAGCTGGACTATAAAATTATTTAACTAATCACTGCATATTTGCATATTATGAACTAATTTTTAAAAATAAAAATAACTTATTAGGTTATTTGTGTAAGATAACTAATCAAATTGTTAATACTCAGTCTTGTTTATCACATAAACTAGTATGTAATATTCATTGTTTTTGATTCATAACATTACTTTTACAATGTTGGGTTATAGGCGCAGTGTAATGAATTTATATAACCTATTATATATCTGGTACACAACATTTATTCTAAAAAAAATTATGGGATGGGGAGGGATATACAAAATTCTAGCAGGACTATATCCTCCTTAATCCCGATAATGCTACGCATATGATCTGAATCAAATATAGGACATTTTCCTGAGTTATTCATAGTATATTTTATCTTATACAGCTAATCATTCATTATAATTTGATAATATTATAACATTATTTTTATGTTAATCTTAAGGATTAAGTCAAATTTAAGATGTTTTAATTTTATTTTTTAGTGTGTGTAATGAATTGGTCCAAGGAATAGTAACTACAACTTATGAAGCCGGTGTAAAAACATATAAAAATCATGAGCATTTATTAGCAATCAAACAATTCAATAAACCTAGCGATGGATTAGTTGCAGAAGAGTTGATAGTTGGGAAGTTAGATCCATATACAAGACAACCAATTACCAAACCAGTATCCAACAAAGTTTGCAAACACATATATGATCAAGAATCAGTTAATCAAATGTTTCAGAATAAACAATTTATATCTTGTCCATATATTGGATGTACTAATAAACATTTTACAAAAGCTGATCTGAATGTTTCCATAAATAGTGACAATCATTAAATATTATATGCTTAAGTGAAAAAGGAACTGTAATTTTTTTATTTACTGTTAAGAAATACTTTTTGAGTTATATGTATAAATTAATTTATGTATAAAAGAAGTTGAATTGAGATTAAGTCATTCAAGATTACCATAATAATTATTTTTTATACCTATTTAACATTTATAGATACTTAATTAAAGTAAATATAATTATGTTATTCACTACCACAAAAGGGTAAATTTCATAATTGTTAAGTACATAATAATATATATTTTTATTTTATAAATGTACATTTTT